TATATATATATATATATATATATATATAGTTAGTAATGATCCTATAGGACCTTCTTCAAAGATCACCACTAAGTTGGCACCGATCTCTAAAAAATTTCATCACATAGGGTGTGGGACTTGACTTTTCTATAGATCCGTGTCAAATTTAATGGTGATCCTTTGGGTCCTATACATACATAAGTGGGAGAGGGTCCTATAGGATCATTTCTCTAATAATAATAATGATAATGATGATGATGATGATGATGATAATAATAATAATAATAACAACAACAACAACAACAATAGTAGTAGTAGTAATATTAATAGGAAAAATTTTATATAGAGTTGAGGCTCTAAACAATCAAATTAAGGCCCACCTAAAAAATTTCACTAGAAGAGGTTGTTTTGATGCTCAAATATCCTCGAATTGATCATCTCGATGCATAAACGTGAGACAAAAAAAAAAAAAAACACTTCAAGTTTTGGAAATAATGAATCTCGTAACACATTTTTGGACCGTCGATTTTCAAGATTTTCATAAATTTGCTTGATCTACACTATTTTTGAAGCTTTAAATTTTTTAATTCAAGATGAAAATATGTTTTAAGGCTATCAAAAATATTTCCAATATTGAAACCACACTTCTCATCACTATTTGAAAGTGCACTTTACTTTGATTGTTTAGAGCGTTAGCTCTATACAAACCACACCTATATTAATATAATAACAATAACCACATTAGGGTATGTGTGTTTAACTTTTGATTTCCAAAAAATGACAATGCCATCTATTTGGGTGGAATTGATATTTCTTGAAATTTGGCTTAAAATGAGGATAAAAGACTCCTTTCGAAAATGTCAATTCCGTCTTACAAAACAATCAAATAGGCCGGTCTGAGTTGTTTCCTTAGAAATGAGATTCCAAGAGTCTCATTTCCTGGGAACCGAACTGGCCCTTAAGTGTATAAGGAAAAATAGCAAAAAGAATATGAAAAACGGGGATACGGGGGGAATAAAAGAGTCAAATTGCATTGAGACTATGTGAAATGCTTTTGAGTTCTGTTGGCACATAGACTGTTGTCTTGATGACCATAATTTGTGTGTGCATAGAGGGAAAGAATGGAATGGCACAGGCACTGGCACTGCAACATGCTGTGGACAGACACGACCGTTGTTGGGGTCGATATACCCGGCGGGGTCGCTATCACAAGTGGCGTTGCTAGATAACATCTTGACACACGTGAAAAGGTCCACATACCTCCTGAACATAACCACCCTCTCCCAGCTACGGAAGGACGCCCACCCTTCCATCTACACCCCTCGGCTAGGTAACGATTGCAGCCATTGGTGTGTAGCAGGCCTTCTTGATACATGGAATCTACTCCTATATACTACTCTTTTCTTATGATACATGGAATCGGCCTACCATATTCTCTTTCAAGATCGAGTTCGATGGAATATGCCATATCTTAAAGAGATATGAAAATGGAAAATTCCACATTAAGTTTAGGCTTTTATTTGGATTCTGGTCAAAGTAAGGTTTTGATTGTTGATAATTTAAAAAAGAGAGGCAAATTTTAATTCAACGTTTGTCTTTTTTGTAAAACTGCCGAGGAGAATGGGGATCACCTGTTTTTTCATTGTCCATATGCGTGCATGATATGGTGTTGGGCAATGCAGAAAATAGGTGTCTTTTGTTATTCCATCATCGGTTTCCTTTATTGACTCTCAAATAAAAATTTATGGTTTGCTTAACGTTGGAGTCCTTATTTGGGATATTTTTCGGGGTGCAATTTTATGGGAGGTTTTGTTAGAAAGGAATAGAATAACGTTTGATGGACTAGCGCTAGATATCCAACAGGTCAAGAATCAGAGTATGGAGCTAGTTTAGTATTACTAAGGACGGGTGGGGGGTATCTAAACTTGTTGTGGAAAACATAATATTGCACTTCTGATTTCCATGAGGTATTTAAAGGTAAGACCAAAATGTAGGTGGACACCACCAAGTAGAGGTTGTTATAAGCTTAATTTTGATGGATCGCTATTTGGGAATCCAGGAAGGGCAAGAATTGGGGGGTATGCCATGATTGTGATGGTAATATTGTTTTTTGCTATGCTGCTCTTTATGGGGAGGTCACTGCTAATCATGCTGAAATGTTAGCCCTTGTTAAAGGGCTATCTATTTGGAAAGAAAAAAATATGGGTAATTATCTGGTAGTTGAAGGTGATTCCCTCATTTTATAAATTGGTGTAATTTGTCTTCAATACCTTCACGGCAACTCAGATACATTTGGATGCAAGTTATGGATTTGGTAGCAGAATTTTTTATTTCTTTCAATCATGTGAATGGGGAGGCAAATTTCATTGCTGATTTTGCCAAGAAGGAGCCTTGTTTGATTCATTAATAGTTTCAATGGCTTTGTTTTAATCTTTGTTATGTTTGTAATGGATCCATTCAATCAATAAAGTTAAGTGCTCTTGTCAAAAAAAAATTTATTTTGTAAATTTTTTTTTAATATATTGTGGTTGATATCTAATCGGTAGACAAATTTTGAATCCAAAGGTCTCTACATAAATAAGATGGGGGTGAGTTCTTCTAATGAAGAAAGAAAATTGAGTCATATTGGGATTTGAGAGCCAGGTTTTAGCAACTCTGATATTTTTTGGGTTCATTTTCTCCTATTATAGTATAGAATAACATATGATATTGTAAATTATACGGCTTCTTGGTCTTGAGGCACATATTGTCCATTTGTTTTCTCTTTTTTTGGGGTAATTCAGCGGAGATGACGAGCCCCTACCCATTTTTCTAAATCGTTAATGGTTTTTTGAAGGCATTAAGCAAGAATGGAAGTCCAAACCTTAGCTGAGGCCTACTACCACGACCCCAATCCCATTCTCATACTGTCTATTTCCTCCTTTTGGCAAAACTCAGTGTAGGAGTACTTTTAGGACCCAACATTTGGGGAATGAATTGTCTTAAAGCAAGCAACCACTTCCAAAAAAAATAAAAAATCATACTTATTCTTTGCTGGTGTGAAGAAAACAACGTATTAGGATTTTTAATTTTTAGGAATTCTAGGGTTTTTATGATATTTTTTATTTATTTCATAAGTACCATTCACAAGTACTATTCACAAATATTGTGCATGAGTATTGGTCATAAGGGTAAAAGTGTTATTACAAAATTTAAGTTTAAATTAATATATATATAGGTCATTTTAATCATTGTACAAACATATAATGGCCGTAGATATTGAATTACATTATATAAGAGGTGTGAGGGGCCTTGAGATGAAAAATTTCACATGATTTTTAAAAATTAAAAGAGAGAAAAACTTAAGCTTTTGGAACCTTAGTTTGAGTTATCAAGAAGAAACCCCATATTTGTTTGAATTATGCTTGTATTTGGCTTGTTCTTTCCTGATTTTATTATTCTCTCAAATTTCTTAAATTTTAGATCCATACAGCTAAAATAAACAATTTTTTGAAAATTTATTTTCTTAATATTTTTTTAAGGACCCAAATAGCACACATGCGAATACACAAATAGTAGATGCAGAGATGTATCATTAAGAAGCCAAATAAAGAGTAGAATTCCTCCTCATTACAAATAAATTTCTATTTTTTTTAATTTTTGTAAGTATTGAATTTTTTAGGTCTCAAATTTGGATTACCCACACCCACCCGGACTTGCCTTAACAGGAATTGGCGAGTCCGATTCGACCCGCCCGAGTTTCTGTCACTTGCCAAAGGCCGAAATAACCAATTCTTGGATTCAGATAAGATTGTCGGGGCGCGTTCAACCTCAGGCTATTTTTTTTCTTTCATCTTCCTTTTCCTTATTTTGTACAAATAAAGGCAGTGGCCAAGGGTCCCAGTGTTAGTGACAGTAGGCAGTCATGGCCATCTCTCTTTTAGCTCTCCGAGCACCTCCAATGGTGGCCTCCTTTAACCTCTGCACCAGGACCCCTATCCTCACCAACTCCTCTCCAAACCCATCTCCCATTTCTCCGATTTTTGGTTCTTCTTTCTTGGGCTCATCCTCTCTCTCTTTTCCATCTTCATTCAAAGGTAATCTCCCTCTTCTTGAACATATGCCTATCTATTATTTAGCTTCTTTTTTTCCATGTTATTTACCAGACCCATGTGAGAAGTGTCCTTACTGCATTCTCTTGTGATTCATGGTGGAAATTTCGTACTGTTTGGGCATCTTCTTTTATTGGGTTATGTTTAGATTTTGCTTGTAATTGGTGATATTGGACTTTGCAGAGATTGAAAGCATGGGTATTTGCGTTATGAACAGAAGATGGGTGCTTTAGTTGAATAAGACTAATTTATATATGCATTTTTTTTTTTTGGAAGAATCTTAACTTATATGCATTTTCTTTTTCTGGTTATTCTGATGAACTTGCTTTTCTCTGATTTTTTTGGCTGAGTGGTTCATCTAAAAAAGTAATTGACGTTTATGCCAGACTTTCCTGCGCCAATTTGTTGCATTCTCTTTTTTTCCCCCCCTTTTTCTCTTTATCCTTTTCATTTAGTGATGGGACTGGGGAAGTTATTCACTTGGGAAAGCTTCCCTTGTAAACTCCTCTGGACTTGCATTTGCCTCAATTCGTTTTCCCCCTTCAAAAAAAATGAGCAAAAAAAGTTACTTTGCTTGCTTCTTGTATGATAAAATGCCATTTTATGTTTTTTGGTAACTAGGTTGCGCCCCATATACTCTCTACACTTTGGATATAGCATACATAATTTTTTACATTTACATATAAATATTTAGATGGATCACATCGTAATGATTACTTTTATATTTATGTCATTTTATATATACAATGCACGAGCAACGTATTGTACTAACACTAGTGCATTAAGCATGTACAAGTATCTGGACAATGATGTCTTAAGAAATACAAACCTGAATTACCATTTTAGGTGTTGTTGGTAGAGTGCTGGTCTTTAATTACGCACTCTCGAAGGCTATATGAGTGGCTGAAATGTGGGGGTGCCCTTGCTCTCTGCACTGTGAACATTTTATAGAAGATTGGTTTCACTAAGTTGGAAAATGAGGCCATTGTCTATGGTCTTTGAATGGAAAATGTCTAGAAGTCACAAACCTTTCTTTAATCAGAGACCTCCGTGAACGTTTGCGCTGGTGAAACTGAAAATCAGTAGGTAATTGTGAAAACAGAAAAAATAAAAAACACATAGAGCATGCTGCCAAATTGAGACCAAGTATAAATTGCGTATGCATTCTGTTTCTTATCTGGATTACAGTTCATTTCCAGGTGAAGTTACAAAAAGAAAGAATGAGGTAATTTAAAGCATTAGTGATTTTACTTTATTGCTCCCTTAAGAACAGTTTCTGAGAGTGGTAATGCAAAAATGCCTCAGATAATTGTGGTACAGTGATTTTGTGAATTGTTATTAATATAATTGTGATATACTAGTAAAGTTTGTTGCATAATTTTTTATTTTCAATTGACTATGAGTAAATTGAATAACTATTTATTGTAACCATGCAATGGCAGCATCTTGTTTTTTTTTCTTTCGATAAAGTTAACTTTCTATAAATCTAGAACCTGTCAGTAAACAGGATTCTCATGGTTTAGTTCTTGAGGTAAAACCTTTGTTCTTATAAAGGTAAGTGTATCTCTCTATGGCACTTCCAAACTCATAGTTCAGAATGGAAGTTTTCTTGTTTCCTTCATTGTGTAGAGATCCCATAAGCAGTTAGTTTATTTGTGTGCTTTTGGATAGCTGTGAAGTCTTTCCCCAATATTTGCCCTTTGCTTCTAATATGATAGTGCACTTTTTTGCTGTCGTATGAGCTATGATATTTTCCATAATTTAGAGTTATCTAATGTTTGATTTGATGTTACTATTTTTTTAGAATAACTTTTAATATTTGTTTCTTTTTCTTTTTGTTTCATTTGATTTTATTCGAACAATCAGTCTGTACTGAATTTAGGATTAAGATTGTTTGTAGGACTCTTTTGAGTCATAGAAAATGCTAAATTGTAGTTCCAACTTACGTTTTGTTCAATAATTTGTTTAGGTTCTTGAAGGTGAGTCATGTTGATTTTCTTAATATATTGGCCAACCGGGTCAACTGCAGTTGTTCTATATAATCAAGTGCCACTCATTTTAGTCCTATTGAGCTTCTTTGTTTCATGAAATCTAGGAATAGACCGCCTCCTGTTTTCATTTTATTTATCATGGCAGGAGCAGGCATTTGGTTGGATTCTTCTATAGCAAAGTTGGTTAGAACCTTCATGCCATTAGTGTCCTTGTTAAGCTTTACATACTCTCTTTTCTTTCGGAGGTGGTGTTGCTTATCATCTTTTGTTCCTAAAACATATTTTTAGGTGCCCGAGGTATTGTGTTCTTCAATGAGTTGCTTGTTACCTGAATAAGAAAAGAAAAACAAGAAAGTTGAATTAAGATTGGCACACCAACATGTGCATCACTTACTAATGCGACCTATGTATACCTCTAATGTCAAGCCTTTCTTGGCTTTGCTTTTAGAGGGTTCTAAATCCTTTAACTGATAATTTGGTCATTGAGATTGTAGGCTTAACTCTGAAGGTGGACTTGCGTGTCAACAAAGTGGTGAGAGAGAGGAGTCGTGTTGTTCAGGTTAGGGCTGGCAAGGCAAGGTTGTGCATGACAAAAAGGAGTAGGTCACGGAAATCGCTGGCTCGAACTCATGGGTTTCGTAGAAGAATGAGAACGACTGGTGGGAGGGCAGTTTTGAACCGAAGGCGAGCCAAGGGTCGAAAAGTGTTGTGCACAAAAACCAATTCAAACACTGGTAAACGAGCCTGAATCTTCTTTAACTATAAGCTTTTGATGCACAAATGGGCGAGTAATATGAACTCTTTAGCATTGAGATTTCCCTGGTGAAAGAATTTCTTTTTCACCATTTGTTTCTTACCCCGATGATTTAGATGGGGCTTGTGTATTGATCTTGAACATCGTAATGAAGATTGTTCCTCTCCAAGTCTTAATTTGTGACCATGCTCATTCTATGTTCTCCATGATCTGTTAAACGTCTGGTAAAGTATCAATGGGAGTTAATAGAGGAACATAAATATCAGGGTTTGTGTGCTATGATAGCATTTTACTATAGTGTTTGTATGTTAGATGCATCCATTGTCTACTGGGAAACATTGAATTGTCTCGTTCCTCAACTCAAGTCTGTCAAGTTCCCAATTGATGGACATCAGAAAACGGCTGGAGGTTGAGGATGCATTTACCATAAACTGCATGGTAACTGCTATCATGGCATACTAGGTAAAATGCCTCAAATGTAATGGAGTCAATGGAGGTCTCAAATTTAATTGTCACACATCGACATCTTACCGGGCGCAATTTGGTTGTACAACTTATTTATAAACATGCAAGCCTATGTCACTCTCCTGCTCGCTAATGAATGGTAAATGACTTTGTTTGGTTCACATGTGGCTATTCATCAGTAGGGCCTGGTTTTCTCAGCTGTCCATTTGGAAAGCAATTCCCCTCCTTTTAATCCTCCCTCCTCACCCCCCAAAAAAAAAAACGTAGTTCTACCCTTACTTCATGAACAACCCTATTTTTGCGAACATAGTTACTGAAGTGGCATAAGAATACCTGAATTCGAAAGATCATCAAGACAAGTTATGAAAGCATCACACTTTTTCTGATTCATCATTTGGTTGAGTGCATTGTCATTAATTAAGGTGTTTGTTAATCCTTTATGCATTATAATAGACATTTTACCATTATATATTATATAAGTAGAATAATATGGTTGGTGGAGATGCAACGGAATGTGAATAAGTCGGCTTCGTTTGGGGTCTGTATCGGGTCATGCACGTAATCAGTCAGGCAGTTGATTGTGTGTTGTAAATTAGAGAATAAAGAGGTCGAAGCCCTTTACATATCGAATGCAACCCCTTTAATATTATAATATTAAAATATCATAATAAAATATACAAATTCTAATAGTAG